AAACTTGACCCTTGAGCTACCAAATGTGTATTTCTTGGTTATTCTCGCACACAGAAGGGGTATCGTTACTATAGTCCTTATCTGCGATGATACTTTACTAGTGCCGATGTCAAGTTTGAGGAATCTGTTTCATATTTTTCCACACCTTCTCAGCTTTTGGATCTGGACTTTAGGTCATCTCTTGTACCACCATCTCTTCTCTTATTTTCATATATTTCACTGCCCACTGTGTTACCATCTACTTTACCTCTTCGTGTATACTCTCGTCGTCCTCGACCATCGACTGAGGTGCCCATACCGTCTTCCTTCTGATCCTGGTCCATCAGGTAATTTAAACTCTTTACTTATTGCTCTTCGAAAAGGTATTTGTTCATGTGTTACTCATCATCCTATTGCTCATTTTGTTTCATATGATGCCTTGTCTCCTGTCTTCCCTTGTTTTACCTCTCAATTATCTACTATATCTATTCCTAAGCATTTACGGGGATACATTAGCTGATTCGGGTTGAAGAAAAGTTATGGAGGATGAGATGGATGTCTTACATCATAATGGGACTTGGGATCTCGTTCCTTTACCTTTTGGTAAACAAACTATTGGTTGTCATCAGTGTATACTGTAAAATTTCATCTGGATAGTTCTGTGAAGCGTCTCAAAGTTTGGCTTGTTGCAAAGTGTTTTACTCAGACCTATGGTGTTGATTATGAGGAGACTTTCTCNAGGATGAGATGGATGTCTTACATCATAATGGGACTTGGGATCTCGTTCCTTTACCTTCTGGTAAACAAACTATTGGTTGTCATCGGTGTATACTATTAAATTTCATCTGGATGGTTCTGTGAAGCGTCTCAAAGTTTGGCTTGTTGCAAAGTGTTTTACTCAGACCTATGGTGTTGATTATGAGGAGACTTTCTTTCCTGTTGTCAAAATTTTCTCTGTTCGTATCTTGATTTCTTTGACTGCTAATCGTGATTGGCCCTTGTTTCAGTTAGACATCAAGAATGCTTTCCTATATGGTGACTTGGTTGAAGAGATATACATAGAGCAGCCACCTGGATATATTGCTCAGGGGGAGTATAGTAAGAGTGTATATTGGTTAAAAAAATCTTTATATGGTTTGAAGCAGTCACCGAGGGCATGGTTTGGTAAACTTTTAGATGTAGTTTTGGTCTTCTTCGATGTCTAACAGATCATTTTGTATTTTATAGACGGACGAATGTTGGATATGTTCTATTGGTGGCCTATGTAGATAATATTGTGATAACGTTGTCTCATCACTCGTCGTACTTTCTGTGGTAGCAAGATCCAGTGATGAGGCTGAGTATAGGGCAATAACGCATACAATGAGTGAGTTGACTTAGTTACTGTACTTCCTCCAGGAAATTGGGTTTCTAGTTCAGTCTCCTTTACAACTATTTTGTGAAAACCAGACAGCTATCCATATCGCTGTCAATCCAGTGTTTCACGAGAGAACCAAATATATTGAGGTTGATTGTCAATTTATTCGGGACAAGATAGTAGCAGGAGAGATTATGACTCCATTCGTGAAATATGAAGATCAGCTTACAGGTATATTTACCAAAGCATTGAGTCATACATGTCTTAAAGCGATTTGTTCCAAACTTGGATTATATGATATATATAGTCCTTAAGGGGGAGTGTTAAGAGTATTAGGGTAGTATGTGTATATTGTTAAGAGTATTAGGGTATTATGCGTAAATACAAAAGGGTGTATGTGTAATTTTTATTATTATGAGTTAACTATAAATATAAGTGATATATGAGAGCTAGGTTAAGTTTTAACCACTCTTCGTCTTTCTCTAATATTGTGTTAATTCTCTCAAGTTAACACTGACCATGGTGATATTCATCAAACTATATGTCCATATATATCTCAGCAAAATGATATTGCTGAATACAATCATCCTCATTTATTGGAGGTTGCTCGAACCTTCATGTTTAACATGTACGTCCCTAAGCCTTATTTTGCAGATGTTATTCTTATTACAGTTTATCTTATTAATCTGATGTATTCCCCATCTTAAGTAACAAATCTTTATTTTCCTTGCTCACTCTTGGTACATCCCCTTTTTTTTCTTACTCTTGTATTTAATTGTGTTGCATTTGTTCACCTTCTTGGTATATGTCGGGATAAACTCTCACCTCATTTAGTTAAATATGTCTTTCTAGAGTACTCTCATACTCAAAAAAAAGTTATTGTTGTTATGACCCTATCTCTTGAAAAAGTTATTGTTGTTATGACCCTGTCTCTTGTTAATGTCGATATCACCTTTTTTGAGTCATATTTTTTTCAAATTCAGGAACTAATCTTTCCCCATATTTAATCTCTACTAGTTAAGGGGAGTTGATATTACCTCTTGTACTAGATGGTGTATCTTCTCTTCCTCCAACTTTTGATCCTCTATTACAGGTTTATCGTCGTTCTATGAATAGACATGTTTCTTATGCTCTAGCTCCCTGGCCAATGCCTGATTCTACTAAGGTCCTCCCTCCAAACTCGTCTTATTTTCTTATTGCATTTGCGGAAAGGTACTCGTACTTGTACCAGACATCCCATTCTAATTTTATCTCTTTGCATCGGCTTTCCTCTTCATTTATTATTTTGCATCCACTTTGTCTTCTGTCATTGTTCCTAACTCTTTGAAATATGTCTTTAGAACCTTCTAGATGGAAATTGCCTATGGATGAGAAAATTAAGGCACTTCATGATAATCTTAGTTGAGACCTCACTTTTCTTACGTCTAGTAAGTAGCCTTTTAGTTGTCACTGGGTGTACACTATGAAATATCATTCTGATGGTTCTGTTGAGTAGTTGAAGGGACGGTTGGTTGCTAAAGGTTACACCCAATCATATGGTGTGGATAATTGTGAGACATGGTTCTTTGTTGCTCGTCTTAACTCTGTTAGAGTTTTTATTTATGTTGCAGTTAGTTCTAACTAGCCATTGTATTAACTGGACATAAAGAATGCATTCTTACACGTAGATCTATAGGAGGAGGTATTTATAATTCAACCTCTAGGTTATGTTACTTCATGCCAAGAATAATTAGTGTGTCATTTGAAGAAAACATTGTATGGCTAGAAACAGTTACTACGTTCTTGGTTTGATAAGTTTAATACTATGGTTCTTTAGATTAGTGATGAGGATCGTATAGAAATTAGATAGATATTTTAGATTAATTATGNGTATTGTTGCTATTCATCGTCATCACGAAGCCTTCGTTAAAATTCCCAACGCAGCAATCAACGATGACAACATAAAACCAGTGTCATCCAGATAGCCAAAAAAAAAAACTTTTGCATTGTCCTAGTGTTCATTGTTGTTATTGTTTCGTTCCAGGAAAAAAAAATCATTACTGTTCATCACACTGTTCATTACTGTTCATCGTGATTGTTTAGTATTACATAAGCATCCTCAGTAAATTTTAGAATTGCAGAAACATCACCAAAATGTCCAAAAAATTACAGAATTACCCACATAAGTTACAGCAAATTGTAGAAATACTATCCAAAAATTTCAGAATTGCAGAAACATTTCCAATAGATCCATAAAATTGCAGAATCATCCCCAAAAAATTTCAGAATTTTCTCTTAATTATGATATGCATACTCCCATAGAATTTGAAACTAATATTTTTATTCATTGAAAAATTAGAGAATTTGCAAAGGGTCCAATACACATTTTCTTCTATTTAAATTTTCTTGAAATTGTCAATTGCGTTCTTGAATTTGTTGTCGAGTAATGCTATTGAGATCTAATTTACTGACCTAATTTGTTGATTTAATTCACTATGACTTTTGAATTGATCGTGAGCTATATCAAACATTAAAATTTGGTGTTAATCCAATGGTTCCACTAAAGCCACATTATTATGTCAGCAAATTATGTCATATTTTTAGGTTTAAATAGGATTACTCTTTGTTCTTATACCATTCTCATCTTTCAAGAGTCATTCATGAGTTACTCTAATGCACATGTTTCAAAAGTTTCTCGTCGAGGTCATCATCATAGGAAGTTTAGGGATGTTTACATGGTCAAAGATCCTTCTATATTTGGTAGCATTTTAAATCCTTTTGAATTTTTAGATTGGTTAGTTAATTTAGAAGAATATTTTGATTGGCATGACATGTTAGATTTTGATTGCGTTCGTTTTGCTAAATTGATGTTAGAGGATTCCGTCAAGTAGTNCGTTCGTTTTGCTAAATTGATGTTAGAGGATTCCGTCAAGTAGTATTGACAAACAATTAAAAGAAGCCTAGATTACTTAGGAGAATCACCTATTACTTGGGTTAAAATGAGATATAAATTGAAAGAGAAGTATTTGCCTACTTCCTACATGGATTAGTTTTATGACCAATGGCTCAATCTCAGATAACATTCTTCGAGTGTCTCTGATTACTTTGCCTAGTTTGATTATCTCATGTACTTGTGTGGCATTGTTGAAAAATANCTTTGAATACTCTCTGGAGGAGAGTTTTCCTCAACCGAAGGAGAATGACGGGTATCGTTTAGGAATTAGATAGATATTATAGATTAATTATGATGATTATTTAGATATTTTTAATATTTATCTTTTAAGTAATTTTTTTTTAACTTTTAAGGGTTTATTTGTATTTATTTATTTATTTTAGGGTTTTAGTTTCCCAATATAAAGGGATGCATGTAACAGTTTTATTTAGACTACACTTTGATTATTGATTATTGATATTGCTTCTTCCTCAAATTCTCTCTCTATTCTCATCCCCTTCTTCTTTTTTTCTCATCCCCTTCTTCCCTTCTCATCCCAAATTCTTCCCTACTACAATCTACATCAATTTGGTATCAGAGCTAATACGATCTACATCACATTCATACCCAAGTTGTGAATGAGTTAGAGAAAGTGAGGGTTAAGGTTCGTAAGTGGGAGAGTTGATTGACAGAACAAGTGTTTCACAACTCATACTTATCATATTATTATATATATTACATTATTTGTTGAAGAAGGAAGAGAAGGGAACGGGTTTCATGGAGCAAGGAACACTGAAACTCCTTCCTAAAAAGCATGCGAAGGAGAAAGGAGGGCATATGGGAGTTTCACATGTACGATGCTTAATACCTTGATTACTCAAGGTTAGGGTCTACTTTAGTCTAATGTTAGTAAGGTGTTGGTCAGATTTGTTTATGGCTCTTACAATTTTATTGGGCCTGAGTGTACTGATAGAACTTTTTGTATTTGTTGGATGTTTAGTTCACATTGTCCATAGTCCACATGTTTTATTTTTGGGTCAATTAATATTAGATTTGATGAGGAGTTCTTGGTGCTCTATATTAATTTTAGTAGTAGAAGAATCAAATTTATCTATTTGTTGATTTCACATTGTCCATAGACCACATGTTTTATTTTTGGGTCAATTAATATTATATTTGATGAGGAGTTATGGGTGCTCTATATTAATTTTAGTAGTAGAAGAATCAAATTTATCTATTTCTTGAGTCTTAGTCCTTACTTGTTTTCACTTCAGAATTTGTTTAGGTGAAGTCTAGCCGCCTTACTTGCGTATTTCCTTTATTTCAGGGATTTTATTTATCAGAAATTGGAATTTTGCTTTTATGATATTTTCCTAAAACCTTGTGATAATGAAGCATACTTCTTTTTCTTTTGTTGTTTTTTTTTTCCTTCTTAGCTTTGGGATTAACTTTTGAGAATTACTACTCAGGGCCCCAAATAAATCAACAATTCCTCGTAAAGAGTCAAGATTATTTTGGGTTTTGTTGCTTTGGGAAATAAAGAAGAAAAAGGTTGATTTGTTGTAGTTTATTATAATTAGTAGTAAGGTTAATTTGGCATTTGAATGAATCAGGATCCAGGGGTCTGTTTGGTTTGCATTTCAAAAAATAGTATCCGAAAACTATTTTTGAAAAGAGTTTTAAGAAAATATTTTTAAAAATTTTTAGATTACAAAACCTGTGTGGTTATATATTTTTGAAAATAGTTTTAAAGAACAAATTATAAAATTTGTTTGGACAATAATCCACAATTCCCACATCTCTTCAAATCTCTGTCTCTCTTTTTCACTATGTATCACCCAACACCCACAACCGAGAACCACCATCAACCCAACACCCACAACCACCACCAACCCACAATTAGGGGTGTTCAAATTTCTGACTGGCCGCAATTTCCTANCACAACCGAGAACCACCATCAACCCAACACCCACAACCACCACCAACCCACAATTAGGGGTGTTCAAATTTCTGACTGGCCGCAATTTCCTACCCTACCCGACCCTATCTTACCCTATTGAACGGTTAGCCGCAAAAATCGAGTAGAAATGTGGAAGAGTTTTTGGTCTTTCGATTAAATCGGGTAGGAAATAGCCATCCATTTCCGCATTCTTACCCTATCCTATATATATATATATATATATATATAACTTAAAAAACCCTAATCTACTGACTATTAAGTCCCGAGAGCGCCTGCACCTCACACCTCACACCTCACACCTCACACCTCACACCTCACACCTCACACCTCACACCTCACACCTCACACCTCACACCTCACTCCTCTTTCATTGTTCCAGACTTCTAGTTCCAATTCATATATATATATATATATATAACTTAAAAAACCCTAATCTACTGACTATTGAGTCCTGAGAGCACCTGCACCTCACACCTCACTCCACTGCTCCTCCTTCATTGTTCCAGACTTCTAGTCTCAATCCCCACCCAAGTACTCTCTCTCTCTCTGCGCTATCTAGTGTGGTCTGGCTTGGAAGGTCTGATCNCACCTGCACCTCACACCTCACTCCACTGCTCCTCCTTCATTGTTCCAGACTTCTAGTCTCAATCCCCACCCAAGTACTCTCTCTCTCTCTGCGCTATCTAGTGTGGTCTGGCTTGGAAGNCCACCACCAACCCACAATTAGGGGTGTTCAAATTTCTGACTGGCCGCAATTTCCTATCCTACCCGACCCTATCTTACCCTACTGAACGGTTAGCCGCAAAAATCGAGTAGAAATGTGGAAGAGTTTTTGGTCTTTCGATTAAATCGGGTAGGAATGCGGAATAGCCATCCATTTTCGCATTCCTACCCTATCCNATCGAGTAGAAATGTGGAAGAGTTTTTGGTCTTTCGATTAAATCGGGTAGGAATGCGGAATAGCCATCCATTTTCGCATTCCTACCCTATCCTATATATATATATATAACTTAAAAAACCCTAATCTACTGACTATTAAGTCCCGAGAGCGCCTGCACCTCACACCTCACACCTCACTCCATTGCTCCTCCTTCATTGTTCCAGACTTCTAGTTCCAATTCATATATATATATATATATATATATATATATATATATATATAACTTAAAAAACCCTAATCTACTGACTATTGAGTCCTGAGAGCGCCTGCACCTCACACCTCACTCCATTGCTCCTCCTTCATTGTTCCAGACTTCTAGTCTCAATTCCCACCCAAGTACTCTCTCTCTCTCTGCGCTATCTAGTGTGGTCTGGCTTGGAAGGTCTGATCGCAGATCTTGTCATGAGTTGCAGATCAATGCGCGATCTGATCTGAGTTGCAAATCTATGGGTTTTTATCCTCTGTAGAAAACCTCATATGTTGCAGATCCGGTCACCTCCTCTTGAACTCCCACACTTCACCAAGATTCAAATGGATGAACACACTCCTCTACAATACTCTCATCAGAGCCTACCTCAGCTTTGGCCTACCGCACAGAACCATAGTCCTCTTCACATATATGCTTGCTCATCAAGCACCACCCAACAGCAACACCTTCCCTTCCCTCATCAAAGTAGCCTCTTCTTCACCTTGTTTGGCTTCACATATAGGCAAACCCCTCCATACCCATGTCATCAAACGGGGTGTAACAAACGACCCATTTGTGCAAACGTGCTTTGTTGTGTATGCTGGACAGACTGACCTTAAACATGCACATATTATGTTTGATGAAATATCTGAACCATGTATTGTATCTAATAACGCGATGGTCGATGCGTTTCGGAAAAATGGGGACATGGGTTCTGCTATTTTGACTACTTATGCTCCTGCCAAACTCCAGTAGTTTATTTGTTCATGGTGACCAAGATTTTTTGTTAGCTATGCAAGCGTTTATTCAAACAACTAAAGAAACTATCTCAAGGACTTAGAAATCAATCCAGTGAGCAATAAGTTGTGCTTAAAAAAAAAAAGTAATATTGTTCACATTCACATGACTTTTGTGTGGAATCTTCATATGGACTAGACAACAATACAAGGAAAAAAGAAATATTGTTCGGAGCATTGCTTATTAGAAAAAAAAAAATGTGATCAGAAAAATTAAAAAAAAAAAAGCATTGGTGAGGAAGGAGCAAAACACATAACATGTGATTAGAAAAAAAAAAAAAAACAGCAGTATCGGTGAGGAAGGNAAAAGAAATATTGTTCGGAGCATTGCTTATTAGAAAAAAAAAATGTGATCAGAAAAATTAAAAAAAAAAAAAAAGCATTGGTGAGGAAGGAGCAAAACGCATAACATGTGATTAGAAAAAAAAAAAAACAGCAGTATCGGTGAGGAAGGAGACTAACAGACAGAAGAAAAAAAGAGAAGAAGAAAAGAGAAGAAGACCAACCTGCTGATCCTGTAGGAGCAGCGAGCAACGAGCTTTTGTCGATCGATCGAATCCAGCAAGCAGTGACAGAGGCTTTGTCGATCGATCGAGTCCAGCAAGCAGCGATAGAGAGCCTCTATCGATCGAGTCTAGCGAGCAACAAGCTTCTGTGTAGCAGCGAGCAACGAGCTTCGAGCTTCTGTGTAGTCCTCCTCCTAAGCAACGAGCAGCTAAGGGGATAAATTAGGGTTTTTGGTTTTATTTATTAGATAAGGGGATAATTCGGTGTATCTCATCTTATCATTTTTTTTCCAATCATCCAATCCAACGGTTCAAATTAAAAATCAAACATTTCTCGCTTTTTATAATAAAGCAAATGCTTTTTCACTTTTTCTCGTTTTTTTCTCGCTTCGCTCACGTTTGCTTCGCCTCGGGTCCTCCAGGTGAGATATGCTCGCCTTGCCTCGCTTCTCGCCTAGGCGAGTTTTTCACAACACTGATCAACCCAACAACCAACATTAATNGAGATATGCTCGCCTTGCCTCGCTTCTCGCCTAGGCGAGTTTTTCACAACACTGATCAACCCAACAACCAACATTAATCCAAACTGAGAACCACCCAAACCCACCACCCACAACCACCACCACCAAGCAAACCGAGAATCACCCAACACCCACAACCACTACCAACCCACACTGAGAACCTCCCAACACTCACCACCAAAGACCACCACCCAAATCGAGAACCACCCAACACCCACAACCACCCCCAACCCACACCGCGAACCACCCAATACCCACAACCACCACCCAACACCCACAGTCAGCACCAAAGGATATGTGTTTCCGGTNCAACACCCCCAACCACCCCCAACCCACACCGAGAACCACCCAATACCCACAACCACCACCCAACACCCACAGTCAGCACCAAAGGATATGTGTTTCCGGTCGCTGGATCTGTGCTTCCAATCACCGGATCTATGGGTTGAAGACATCCGTAGTGTTGACACAAGAGAGAGAGGTGAGGGAAAAAGAATGCAAAAAAAAAAAAAAAAGCTTTTATATTGGTACAATAAGTGCACAGTAAATAGGATCTGTGCATTTTCCGTGTTTTCATAATTTTCAAATAAAACCCAAAAAACAAGCCTAGCTTGTTTTTTGTTTTTGTGTTCCAAATCTCATTTATTTTANTTTTCCGTGTTTTCATAATTTTCAAATAAAACCCAAAAAACAAGCCTAGCTTGTTTTCTGTTTTTGTGTTCCAAATCTCATTTATTTCGAAAATTTTGAGAACAAAAATGCTAAATAAACAGATTTTGGGTGTTTTTAAAATTTTAAAAATAAAAAACTGTTTTTCAGATGATAACCAAACGGGGCCCAGGTTTGTTAATTGGTCTTTGATGTATTGGGTACTGTAGAGTTCAAGTCATACCCAGTGCAAAAAGCTACCATCTCTACAAAATTTGTCCTCTAGCTATGAACAGGTGTGATGCAATAGAAGATATCAGTGAAGATTTTGGTAGATAAATGTTTCATATTAGTCTTCCTTGGGTTTCTTAATTTTTCTCTTGGTTAAAGTTCCACTTCTTGTATTGCAGTCTCTGCCATATTTAGCTGGATTTATGCAGATTTGCAAATCTGAAGTTGTTTTGCTAGACCAGAGGTAATTTAGGTTCACCACCATTTCTGTAGCATCGGATTCTCCACTTTGAGCTACATCATTGGCCCCAAGTTGTTGCTGAAATCCTCAATATAATTGGTGTCCAAAAGACAACACTTCTCTGAAGTTCTTCTAACCAAACACTTCCACTTTCGAAATCAAGCAATCTCAAATCATGCACAGAGCCTAAAACTAATTTCTGTTTTCAATAGCCTAAATCTACGAGCTTTCAAATTGCGAACTTACTAGTAAAGCATTGTAGCCAGTGCACCCCTAAGTTTCATAATTTTCTTCATTGATTTTGGATTGGAGTCTTCACAGAGATTAGCATACAAGTTTTCTTGAACATAATTTATGGGGTTATATTTAAATTCCATATAGAAGATTTCCTAATCTAGAGCGGGTTACCCCATTTGGATCGGACTTTGTTATTAGTTCCAAACATGGAAGGGCATTGCATGAGGTGATTAATGCTCTGCAGGTTATGTTGTACATGTGTGGTCTATGATGTACCTAGGATTACCATTGGAGGGAAACCCAATTCTTTACCTTTTTGGAACCCGGTTGTAGAAAGAATAACCAAAAGATTGGATGGTTGAAAAAGGACCTGTTTCTCTCTTGGAGGATGGATCACCTTGATAAAGGCTTGCTTGTCTAGCATTCCCTTGTACTACTTGTATTTGTTCTGAATCCTTGTAGCAATTGTTAGGAAACTAGAGAAGATGATGAGAGATTTTCTTTGGTCTGGGGTAGAAGAAGTTAAGAGGGATCAATTGGTGGGTTGGGAAACACTGTGTAAGCCCATGGATAAAGGGGGGATTGTGACTTGGTAATTTGGTGTCTAGACACATTTCTCTTTTAGGTAAATGGTTATGGAGGTTCTTGTTAGAACGTAACTCTTTGGCATAAGATATTTAGGAGTAAGTATGATCTTTAGAGGAATGGGTGGGATACTAAATCAGGGGATAATGTAGCGAGCCCTTGGAAGTTTATTTCACAGGTTTATCTTTCTTTTCTTCCTTTGTCTCGGTATCAAGTAGGAGATACTTCTAAAGTTCTATTTTGGGAAAATATATGGATGGCAGATTCATCTTTCTATAATACATTTCCCTGTCTTTATCATTTGTCTTCACTTCATGAAGCTCCTATCCTCTTTTCTTGTTTTGGGGAGAGAGTCTTATTCATGAGATTTTCGNAGCGAGCCCTTGGAAGTTTATTTCACAGGTTTATCTTTCTTTTCTTCCTTTGTCTCGATATCAAGTAGGAGATACTTCTAAAGTTCTATTTTGGGAAAATATATGGATGACAGATTCATCTTTCTATAATACATTTCCCTGTCTTTATCATTTGTCTTCACTGCATGAAGCTCCTATCCTCTTTTCTTGTTTTGGGGAGAGAGTCTTATTCATGAGATTTTCGTTTTTTTAGTAATCTTACTGATAGGGAAGCTCTTAATTTGACTTCATTGTTTCATATTCTTCAAGATTTTTTCCCCAATTCTTCTTGTGATTGTAGGATTTGGACTGTAGATAAATCTGGAATTTTCTCTTGTAAGTCTTTCTACTCACATCTTGTTAGTCCCCAAAATGTTGAGTTTTTTTTTTTCTAGCCAAATTTATTTGGAAAGTGAAAGTTTCCTAAAAAATTAAGGCTTTTACTTGGTCTGTTATCCTTAATAGGGTGAACACTAGCGATTTGTTGCAGAATTCGAAGGCTCTTTACAGCTTTGAGCCCTCATATTTGTCTTAATTGTTTGAATAGTGGGGAATCGAATGCTCATTTGTTCGTTCATTGCACTTTTGCATGGGGATTGTGGAATAATTTATTCAAGCTGACCGGTGAAGTTTGGATTTGTCATTCTACAATAGAAGAATTGTTGCATATTAAGTTTTGGGCTTTTAGAAAGAAAAAGGAAGCAAAGGTACTATGGGATTGTGCTTTATGTCACTAATTTGGTGCATTTGCAGGGAGAGGAATGTAAGAATATTCAATAATCATATTCTGCCTTCAGAGGAAAGGGTTGTTTTTATGGGTTCTCTATGGACGAAAGCCACAGGAAGTTTTACAGGGTTGCCTCTTTCGGATCTTCAACAGGATTGGACTGCGGCATTGCTATAGTGTCAACGCATAGTTATTCTTTAATTTGCGTTTTTTTTTATTATGTTGGAGGATTTCTTGTCCTCCATGATGTATCCTATTTTTTGATTCTTTTTCTCAATAAAAATTTCTTCTTTTATCAAAAAAAAATAAAAATGCTCTGCAGTATTTGTTAGAAAGGAACACAGATGGTTAAAGGTTATTTGAGGCCCCAAAAGATTGTTTCTTTATTCATTTTTCTCTTTTGTTTTGAAGCCTTGCTGCATCTTTGTTGAAAACCTGAACTATATGTGAGCATGAATAACCTCTTTCATCATTACTCTTGGTCTTTTTTTGTCTCATATACGATGTGGCAGTTATGATCTCATATGATTAGAAATATTTCATGTTTAATGCCAAGTGCACTAATATAATGCTTCGACTAACAAGCACAAGGTTAGGTGTTCAAAATACTAATATTTTAACAACCTCTTTGTGCATGCATTGGCAAAGTTTAGATCTGTATTGTTCACNCACTAATATAATGCTTCGACTAACAAGCACAAGGTTAGGTGTTCAAAATACTAATATTTTAACAACCTCTTTGTGCATGCATTGGCAAAGTTTAGATCTGTATTCTGTTCATTTCTCAGCGCCCTTGATTAATGGGGTCCGGACCAAATTAGGTAATAATCTGAGGTGCTGATTTTCAATAGTTGCTAGATCACTAATCGACTAGAACTTGCCACTTAATATGTTGTTTATCATAGCTCTATCGTATCAGTAGTTATCTCAGTTTTGTCAGCTTATCAGAAAAGAACTGACCAGCATACAACAGTCCAATTTGCTTGTCCCAAAATAAAGCCTAGTTTGATTATTTAATCAATCACCTTTTGACCNGCTCTATCGTATCAGTAGTTATCTCAGTTTTGTCAGCTTATCAGAAAAGAACTGACCGGCATACAACAGTCCAATTTGCTTGTCCCAAAATAAAGCCTAGTTTGATTATTTAATCAATCACCTTTTGACTGAAAAAGAGATCAAAATCCAAATCAAGTGCTGAGATTCCAAGCATCGATGTCTGTGAAATTGGCTTCACAACTTCAGTCGGGTGAATGTTTTTAGGTGATTTCACCAGAGCCACATATCATTAAGGGGGTTATTTTGGATTTTCTTCATGACATAGAATTCTTTTCAGGTATATCAAGTGTTCTATGTCTGTTTGTGGTGTGTCTGAGACGAGGCATATGGGATGTTGCCTGTCGGTAGAAAAAAATGCATATCCTAGCAGGTATATGTTTAGAAGAGACACACATATAAAGGCTAGAACAAGTAGCATATGGTTAAACAAAAATAAGTAGCATATGCTCTAGGTGTAGGTGAAGATCTGACAGGTGCCACCATGTGTCCATAACAGCGCACAAACTGAAAGTGTAGGCCATCAGCTCTTGTCAACATAACGGAATAACTCAGCAACCACTGATTAAGTTGTTTCGATGTCCAGGTTGATATAATTAGTAGCAAGTTACCTCCAGATGTTATGCCTCAGCTAATTATAGGTGAGAAAGAAAAACTACCACTTCTCAAAGTTACTAGTATCCATAAATGTAATTAACAGTGATGAGCAATATTAAAGGTTTGGTCGTTTTCGTTTTGATAACTTCAGTCTTTTATTTTCAAACTGAAAAGTATAATGAGAAAATAGAATTTAGCAATCATACTCCAGTTTTTTTATCCTTCAATGATTTAGATCAATTTCAAGGATGGTTGATTAAGTTTAAATTTTTTAACAGTATTTCCAAATCAAGTTTTTATGGCTCTCCTATTTATTTTTATATATAATATTTAGAGTTATGTCCACTAGGGATCAGTAAATGGTGTTATCATGCTCTTGATGGATGAGCTGCTGGTTTGAGGTCTAGATGGGACATGGGTGCTTATTACATCAGTAAGAGAACGGGAAGAAGAGGAGGGGCTAAATTTTTGTCTTTCAAGGAATTTGATGCATCTCAATTTGAGAGTGAAAAATTTTTGCATGTCATTCGCTGTGAATATTCAATGGTAAAATTATGTGCTTGCTCTCATTGATATGTTCAATTTGTGCATTTAGTCTATCCTTTTGTTTTATTTGTTCTTCACCAACGAAGCTCAAATCCTTTAACCTTATGGTTTTGCAATCAACAAGTACTAAAGTACTAGTTATCTGATTTTAGAGTTTTTTTGGTTCTATGGATAATAATTCATGTTTATATATACAGCTTTTGTAGATGTCTCTCCTGAAGAAACTTTTCAGAAGAGCCACTTTGAAAGTTTTAAAGAATCGACTGCGACAGCTATGTCGAAGGATTCTCAGTTTGCTGATCAGGTAAAGTTATGATGTTGAGCTATTTCGCAAGGCTGTCCCGTGTCTTTATAGTTTTTACACATTTAATCCTTCAACCTTGTTGAAGGTTTCACAAAATGGAGCTGCTTCCACGCCGGGTATAGGTACTTCTGAAGGTTCCTCATCTAATAGTAAGTAGAAGAAAGACTTTTAGATTACTGGTGTATCATTATCTTCTTGAAGGTGTGATTTTATGTGAAATCTTTCTGCAAACATTTTCACAGCGCCTATATGTTGAAAAATAATTGTGGTAGGCTATGCAGTGCTGTTGTATGTATGTTATGTGATTTAAATTTCATGTACATGTAATATGTCATCCTAGAAATACTGCCAAATTCTATATTTATTGATTTCTCTGACCTGCAAATATTGACTTCAAGTTGTTCCAGTTGCAATATTTTCAACTTTCTTATAGTTGTATGAGGATTAAAGAAAAAGAGGAGGAAAAATGGGAAGCAAACCAGAGAGAAATAAGCATTTTGTAGTCAGTGTGATAGTTTAAGGAGATAACAAGTTAAAAGGAGAATGAGGGACAAATAAACCATATGTTATGGATATAGACTAGGTAAGATGAAGATCGCTAGTCCCATGTATGTCGCTAGTCCCATGTATGTATTGGTCGAAAATAACCATCAACTAAAGTAATACCAGAGTTAGAAGAACAAAATTTAGAAAATAAGGAGGAAATACCAAACATGTAAGCATTAACCCTAGAATCAATAATTCAAAATGGTGCAACTGATTGGGCATCCACATGTGCAAAATTACCAGCAGGAACCAAACTGGCCATAGGATTAGATAACTAAGGAGAGAGGGAAGACAACTGTTGAATGAGTCAACCGAGGGGAGAAGTAAGGTTGTTATGAGAACCATATCTAGATGCAGCATGTCCAATACCCTTAGATACAGGTGGGTCATAAACTGTATTCACATAAGTTGGTCTCGCATGCTTATCATATCAACAGTCCTGTGCCTAGTAGCTCCACAATAGTCAACAAAAGAAAAAAAAAAAAGCAACGCACACAGAAGAACTATAATAGTTAATGTGAACCATGCCAATTAAACTTATGCTGTCTAATCACCTCCTTTGTTTATCATCCAAAGCTCATATTTTTGAGTTCATTTGAAGAGTAGTTAATTAGTTCTAGGATTTCTTGTAAGATTATCCTATGTGATCTCTTTGTTAAAATGTAAAATAACTGACTTATAATATTAATGATGAGGAGAGTCATTTGACCTAAATATTTCCACATTTAGGTGCAATCAGAGTGGATTGTGGTTCTATTAATGGTGGTTTTGAGCACACCATGTTCATTGGTGTTACATTTGGGACCTAGAAAGCATAAAGTACTTTATTGTAATCCAGTTATTATTTTGATAAAATTGTGTGCAAGTAATAATTTTTTGCCTTAAAAATATAAAAGTTAAGACGGTAAGAGTGGTATTAGGATTTGTAAGAAAGAGAAGAAGAGACAAGAGGAAATATAAGAGAAAGAGAATAGTTGTTAAGGATCAAAATTTCGTTTTGAAATGGTTAAAATGTCTCAATTTTCAAGGGGACCGAAACAAATCATTGATGAAATAGAAATTCTAATACTTCGAGGTGTATCATAATGTTTTGATGTGTTGTGCAATGTTTCAATGGATTTGTACAATTGNAATTAAACTTATGCTGTCTAATCACCTCCTTTGTTTATCATCCAAAGCTCATATTTTCGAGTTCATTTGAAGAGTAGTTAATTTAGTTCTAGGATTTCTTGTAAGATTATCCTATGTGATCTTTGTTAAAAAGTAAAATAACTGACTTATAATATTAATGATGAGGAGAGTCATTTGACCTAAATATTTCCACATTTAGGTGCAATCATAGTGGATTGTGGTTCTATTAATGGTGGTTTTGAGCACACCATGTTCATTGGTGTTACATTTGGGACCTAGAAAGCATAAAGTACTTTATTGTAATCCAGTTATTATTTTGATAAAATTGTGTGCAAGTAATAATTTTTTGCCTTAAAAATATAAAAGTTAAGATGGTAAGAGTGGTATTAGGATTTGTAAGAAAGAGAAGAAGAGACAAGAGGAAATATAAGAGAAAGAGAATAGTTGTTAAGGATCAAAATTTCGTTTTGAAATAGTTAAAATGTCTCAATTTTCAAGGGGACCGAAACAAATCATTGATGAAATAGAAATTCTAATACTTCGAGGTGCATCATAATGTTTTGATGTGTTGTGCAATGTTTCAATGGATTTGTACAATTGTTTCGGAATATTTCAAGGTATTTTAAGATATGTTGGTATATTTTGACCAATGTTTTGGAAAAATAATTCTTAAAATTTTATTTTATTTTTTCATTTTATTTCCGAAATGGGTCGAAATGTTTTTGAAACACGTCGAAACGTTTTGTTTCCTAGGTGATCGAAATAATGCATCGAAACAAAATTTTGATCTGTGATTGTTGTGTATCATTTTTGTTGCTCTACATCTTATTTATAGTAGAGAAATATTTAGGGTAATTATAATATTACCCTATACTTGCTAATTGTGACTAACACATAAATATAAGAACTTGGAAAATAAACAACAGTTTATGGATACTCAATTAGTACCAGGGATTGGATTTGGGTTGTGTACTGTCGTTTTGATGCATTTTTCTCTTTATGATAGAATATGGCCTTAGAGTTTGATAAATGAATTTAGATGGAATTTGTTTTCCAGATGCTGGATACATTGACTTGCCCAATAGATATTTTAGAATTGCTGGGTTCTGGTTTCATTGATTCTTATTGATGCAGTAAAGTAACTCAAAGACTATCCAGTAAGTGATGCTATTTAATTAAGGGTATAGTTTTGATGCTGGGGAGATAAATGCTTATCTATTGTTTTCTAACTTGAACATGTAAACTTAAAAAATCCCTTGAACATGCTTGTTTTCATTTTGCACCATTATTCATAAGGGTGCCCCATGTTTTTTTCCTCCTCATAAACTTAAAAGATCCCTTGAGGTTAAGTGAACCTTTACAGTTAGTTGACTAACCAAAGTTTGAATATTAATATGCAATACCAAGTTTGCGCTTATAAAATTAAAATATAAAATTATGAAAAAAAAACACTAAAAAATCATTCGGGGGAAGGGGGACGGACGCATGGAATGGAAGTGGTTGGGGTTTTGTAGCTCATCCCCCCTTGCGTTTTATTTATTTTGGTCAATTTTGACTATTTTTTGATTTAGTGAATTATAATAATATCCCACAATGAAAAGGGTGTGTGATGGCAAACTTAGTAGCATTTGGGATTGATGAGAGATGTTGGTGTAATTTACTTAACTAGAAATTGAAAAAAAGGGAAATGATGTTTTTGCATCTTTTTTTTTTTTTGTGACAAATAAAGTCATTCAATTGCATAGGTTTTACATTTANTTTACTTAACTAGAAATTGAAAAAAAGGGAAATGATGTTTTTGCATCTTTTTTTTTTGTGACAAATAAAGTCATTCAATTGCATAGGTTTTACATTTTAAAAAAAATTGCATAGGTTTTGGTGGCAAGTATTGTAATTTTATGGCAATTGAGTTTTTATACTTGTGAGTAGGGGTTGAGGAATAAAACTTATGATTTTCACCTACAAAAAATATAAATAATTGCCTCCTGATTTCCTAAAATACTAAATAATTTTTATTCCATAGACAAATATGACATCTTGCTATTGTGAGTGATAGTTTGTGAAAATAATGTGTTTCTTGTGAAAAACCCACATTATGAGGAAGAAAATTTGCAAATAATGTCTCCCTCCTTTTGCAAACCAATTTTGCTAATTGCTGTTTTAAAAAGCTTTTTCGTGCCTTTGACCATGTTGGCCTGATTTATCTTCGTTGAAATTTCATATTTTGTTGATTGGAGAGCCTAAGTAAGCTTTTCTATTTATATGCTGGTCAGGGCATACAGATTCTATATTGTCCGTGGAAGCTTTGGAGAAAATGATGGAAGATCCAACAGTGCAAAAGATGGTTTATCCGTACTATTTGAACCTTACAATCTATTTGTGCTTCTTATTTATGTTTTGCATAACTATTTTGAATTTAAGCGCCTCCTAGTGGCCATTTGTTGATTCTTCATTCTGGTAGCAGAAATGTTAGTTAATATTGATAGCAATATTTTTACCTTGATCATTTTTGTAGAATGTTAGGATATTTTAATTAAGGGCATAGTTGTAATTTGTAGCCTATTATGAGTTAATATAAATATGGGTGATGAGAGAAGAGTTACGTCAACTCTCATTCTTCTTAACTCTAGTTTGCATTGTTTTCTCTTCTCCTGTCTTCTCTTACCTGTTATTCAATCTAAACCCTAAGACATAACATCTTGAGATTTCAACTTGGTATTAGAGCAAGGTTTATCTGAAATTTGAAATCACTAGAACACTGTAGGAAGCTTTGGGGAACCTGGTGTCACGCTGCAGTTAAAGGAATATTGTTCTAAAAAATAGGATCACTTTCAGTTAGAAGCTTTCGCAGATGTAGATTGGGCAGTCTTAAGTATTGATAGGAAGTCTACAGGTTATTGCACCTTTGTAAGAGGAAATTTAGTTACTTGACGAAGCAAGAAGCAAGCTGTGGTGGCTAGATCTAGTGTANGAATATTGTTCTAAAAAATAGGATCACTTTCAGTTAGAAGCTTTCGCAGATGTAGATAAGTATTGATAGGAAGTCTACAGGTTATTGCACCTTTGTAAGGGGAAATTTAGTTACTTGACGAAGCAAGAAGCAAGCTGTGGTGGCTAGATCTAGTGTAGGGGGCAGAACACAGAGCTATGACTCATGGTATTTGTAAGCTTATGCGGCTGAAAACCTTAATGGAAGACTTGAATGTCTTTAATGGTGAACCTATGTGTCTGTTTTGTCATAATAAGACTACCATTAATATTGCTCACAACCCAATCCAACATGATAGAGCAAAGCACATTGAGATTGACAGAGACTTCATCAAAGAGAAGCTAAATGATGAGTTGATTTGTATGCCATTTGTGATGTCCAAGGAACAATTGGTCGATGTGTTTACTAAGGAACTTAATAATAGAATTGATCATGTATTCAAGTTGGGTTTGAAAGATATCTGTGCTCCAACTTGAGGGATTT